CATATTCAAGATGATATTCCTTGGTGTATTCTTTTCGCAGACGATATAGTGTTGATAGATGAAACTCAGGAAGGGGTAAATGCAAAGCTTAACCTTTGGAGAGAAGTGTTGGAATCTAAAGGTCTTCGCCTAAGCCGATCAAAGACAGAATATATGGAGTGCAAGTTCAGTGCAAATGGAGGCCAAAACGAGTTAGGGGTGAGGATCGGAGATCAAGAAATACCAAAGAGCGACCGTTTTCGTTACCTAGGATCTATCTTGCAAAAGAACGAAGAATTAGATGGAGATCTCAACCATAGAATACAAGCTGGATAGATGAAGTGGAAGAGTGCATCCGGCGTGTTGTGTGACCGCCGTATGCCACTGAAGCTCAAGGGAAAATTTTATAGGACGGCAATAAGGCCGGCGATGCTGTATGGCACAGAATGTTGGGCGGTGAAGCATCAACACGTACACAAAATGGGTGTAGTGGAGATGAGGATGCTTCGTTGGATGTGTGGGCACACGAGAAAGGATAAGATTAGGAATGAGGATATCCGGGGTAAAGTAGGAGTAGCCGAAATTGAAGGAAAGATGAGAGAAAATCGGTTACGATGGTTTGGACAGGTGCAAAGAAGGCCTACTGACGCTCCGATTAGAAGATGCGACTATGGGACAGAGGTTCAGGGTTTAAGGGGTAGAGGAAGACCTAGGAAAACTTTGGAAGAGACCTTAAGAAAAGACTTAGAGTACTTGGATCTAACGGAGGACATGACACAGGACAGAACACAATGGCGTTCTAAGATTCATATAGCCGATCCCACTCAGTGACTTGGATTTTCCAAGTCTCCAACCGAGAAGTTTTCCTCACTCGGGAAATTAAGGGAACACTACCTCAACCTACATGCTCCACTCACAAAGCTTCAACATACAAGCTTCAACAAAAGAAAATTCAAAGAACTTAGCAAAGAAGGCTTTTGTGTATTTAACACAATACGTTGAAATGAAGGAAAGCTTATTTATTGATATCCCCGATAAGTTACAAATATGTACATATACTTGAGTCAAAATAAACAAACAAGAGGGAGCCTTCACAAAGGTTGCTTAGGAGAAGTCTCAGCAGTCGGTAGAGCCCCAGAAAGAGAAGGCACCGGAGGGGGATCATTCGGAGCCTCAGTACTGGACAAAACCCTAGAAGGAAGAGGCATCAGAGGTTGATCATTTGGAGCTTCATTACGCGGTACAGCCCCAGAAGACGAAGGCAATAAATGCCTTTGGAACAAACCCATAAATCTCTAATGATCAAGTAAAACCTGACCATCAAATTCCTTCATCTGGTCAAGCTTCCTCTTCATGTTTGTAGCATAGTCATGTGCGAGCCGGTGCAACTGTTTATTCTCATGCTTGAGCCCTCTAATCTCCTGTTTGAGACTCATCACTTCAGCCGCCAATGATTCAACTTGGCGGGTTCGAGCAAATAGGCGTTGGGCCATATTAGACACAGAACCTGCACACTGAACACTGAGAGCCAGAGAATCCTTAACAGCCAACTCATCAGACCGTTTGGAAAGTAGTCTGTTATCTTTGGGAGTGAGAAGGTTCCTGGCCACTACCGCAGCGGTCATATCATTCTTCATCACGGAATCCCCAACGGTAAGAGGACCAGTAGGGGAAACGAAGGATGGGCGCCATATGTTGTCTGGAGAAGGCGGGGCTGCCTCTTCAACAAGGTTCAAGTCAAAACGACGGTCGGAGGGGCCAGACATTTTCAAAGGTGTTGAAAAGAGAAGAGGTCGGACAAATCAAGATCTTAGAAGTGCAAGAATGGAGCTTCTACTGGTGGATATTCAAGTGTGCTTTGGAACTTAATGTCAGCCCCTATAAAAATCTACACTCGACAAAGCTTCAGAAATCGAAGAGGCGCCTGCTCAGAAATCGAAGAGGCGTTTGCTTTCTCAAAAGCTGGGCTGCTCAGAGACCACGAGGGTCGATCTCAGAAATCGAAGAGGCGTTTGCTTTCTCAAAAGCTGGGCTGCTCAAAGACCACGAAGGCCGATCTCAGAAATCAAAGAGGCACCTACTTTTCCAGCCTTGTCAGCACCTGTCACACGCATACTCAGCTTTGCGGAAATTATGGGCATTCTGTCGAAGATTTCTGGCGAAGTAGAAAGCACATGAATCGTACTGTTCAATCACCCACTTCCCACACGCAACAATAACTCATGGGTACCACAGATAACTTTGCCAAAGTTCTCTGACAAAGTTGAGACACGTGAAGCTTGCAGCTCCCGCTACATCGCTCTGACCAAGAAGGGTAAAAGAATTGCAAAGAAACAACACTAACAAAGTTTAGACACATAAATTTTGAAGGTCTAGCTACCATATTAATACCCACAAGGGTAAAGGAACAGTACCACTGCTGGATAATTGGAAAGTCCCGGTGTGTCAACCTCTGTGCTTCGTGGCAAGGTAAACTAGCAAACATGCCCAACCTTTACTCACATTCGAGAAAACACACCCAACATGATTGCTTGCTCCAAAATCGAAGAGGCACCGCCCTCCGAATCTCGAGAGCCAGACTCCCAACATGATTACTTTCTCAAAAATCGAAGAGAGGGTAAAGGAACAGTACCACTGCTGGATAATTGGAAAGTCCCTGTGTGTCAACCTTTGTGCTTCGTGGCAAGGTAGACTAGCAAATATGTCCAACCTTTACTCACATTCGAGAAAACACTCCCAACAAGATTGCTTGCTCCAAAATCGAAGAGGCACCGCCCTCCGAATCTCGAGAGCCAGACTCCCAACATGATTACTTTCTCAAAAATCGAAAAGAGGGTAAAGGAACAGTACCACTGCTGGATAATTGGAAAGTCCCTGTGTGTCAACCTCTGTGCTTCGTGGCAAGGTAGACTAGCAAACATGCCCAACCTTTACTCACATTTGAGAAAACACTCCCAACAAGATTGCTTGCTCCAAAATCGAAGAGGCACTGCCCTCCGAATCTCGAGAGCCAGACTCCCAACATGATTACTTTCTCAAAAATCGAAGAGACACCGCTCTCCGAATCTCGAGAGCCAAACCCCCAGCAGGATTGCTTTCTCAAACATCGAAAAGGCATCGTTCTCCGAATCTCGAGAGCCAGATCCCCGACAGGATTGCTTGTTCGAAAACCGAAGAGGCACCACTTTCCCAACTTCAAGAGCTGGATCTCCTTGGATAAAGCTTGTCTGTAATCTTCACACGCAACATCAGCTTTCCAGATACCACAGACCACTTTTTCAAAGTGCTCTGACACAGTTAAAACATGTGAAGCTGGCAGCTCCCACTACCGTGTTATGACCAAGCAGGGTAAAGGAATAGCATTATTACTTGATGTTAGGGAGACTCTTATATATGTCGACCTCCATCCCTAACGGACAGGCAGACCTGCAAAAATGCTCAACCCTTTCTCTTATCTGAGAGGGTACTCCTAACGAAGCCTTTCGAAATATTCAGCTTTTTTTCCCCCCGATAATACCTCTGTAAACAAGCTATACTAGAGCAAGAATATCTCATATCATCAGGGTTAAAAGCAAGAGTATCCCATATCATGCTTTTTCCCTGTCTTTTCCTTTGGCCTTGTTCTTACCTGCAAGACAAGGAGAAAGAGAGCAATCAGTCAGCACTTGGAATCAAGCTTCCAGCCAGGAACCCCTTACCTGATTACTTACCTGGCATTACTCTCAAGTACTCATCTTCAACATCTTATGCTTTCAGGGAAGATACCGCATCTGCCTGAGGAACCTATAGGGCAAGTGAGAAGGATACAATGAAGTATGTGGAGACAAGCGTAACAGCACACGTGCCGATACATCCACTACTCTGTCAAAAGCAAAAGTATCCCATATCAGCAGGGTCGAACGTACTCTAGATTTGATGGACTTGTTTTGACCCTCAAATTCTTCAGTCGGCCTTATACTCTGGAGGAAACCAGAAAACCCTCCAGCCCGGTTCAAGAATAAGCCTGTGGAAAGTTACTTCTTCAAAAGCAAAAGTATCCTATATCATCTCTTCTCATTTTTCTTCTCTTTATCCTTCATGCTGCTTGCAAGATAGGGAGAATGTGAACAATCAGCTGGAGCTCTGGTTGCTTACCTTGTTTGTCACCTCTTTCAGCAGATCCCCTAGCCTGGCGACTTGGGGGACTCCTACTACATGGTTTGTATCGCGCTTGACCAAGCCTGAAACTACAAGTAAGCTTCAAGTGAAATTGATACATTACCTTGTGCATCTCCACCAGTTACAGATACCACCCCTGGATGGAGGAAGAGTACTTCCAGAGAAGATGCCACATCTACCTATGAGACAGATAAGGCAAGTCAAGACGATACCACACTCCGGTACTTAGAAGTTTTGTGGTTACGAGATCATTCTCCCACAATACTTCCTAATGTCATTTGTACTAAATCATTCACTTGTACTCACTAAAGGAGAGCTTGAACCTATGTACTTGTGTAAACCCTTCACAATACTTCCTAATGCCAGCGATGTTGTATGGCACAGAATGTTGGACGGTGAAGCATCAACACGTACACAAAATGGGTGTAGCGAAGATGAGGATGCTTCGTGGGATGTATGGGCACACGAGAAAGGATAAGATTGGGAATGAGGATATCCGAGGTAAAGTAGGAGTAGCCAAAATTGAAGGAAATATGAAAGAAAATCGGTTCTGGTGGTTTGGACATGTGCAAAGAAGGCCTACTGACGCTCCGGTTCGAAAATGTGACTACGGGACAGAGGTTCAGGGCCGAAGGGGTAGAGGAAGACCTAGGAAAACTTTGGAAGAGACCCTAAGAAAAGACTTGAGTATTGGAGGACATGACACAAAACCGAGCGCAATGGCGTTCTAGGATTCATATAGCCGACCCCACTTAGTGGGAAAAGGCTTTGTTGTTGTTGTTGTTGTTGTTGTGGATCGGATGAATTGAAGAAAATCAAAAGATAGAAATTAACAAGGGGTGTGTGAGAAGTAAAATAGGGTGTGGATAGCAAAACCCTTCCTTGTATACCCAACTCCAGGTATAGTGGTAATTTATTATTAATGGCAATTAATGAAAACAAAAAAGTCTGAACTTGTACATGAAATATTCATAAGCAAATACAAAACTAATGCTTCCTTGGGCAGTCCACAAGACCAATACCACAATACACCAAAACTTACATCCCCAAAGCAATCGTACACAGCATTCTCAAATCACCAAATGAGCCTTTGAGCAGAAAAAGCGAATTCAACCTCGCGCCCTCGTCGATGCGTACAGGATTCCGACTCTTCAATAGATTCCGGGGATGACCCTGTAGGAAACCTTCTGACAATATAACTTCCAGTATTTGCCATACCTGCAATGCAAACGCTCCTCGTCAGAATCTCAGTCGAAATTACATGAAATGCTTGGAACCGTTTCATTTTTTATGGCTTTTACAACTTGGTTACTTCATTTTGCAACCACTAGAGGTCATTTCAGTTTTTGCGGATTCCCCAAGAATGCATACTATGTAACAACAGGAATCTGTATCTGCTTACTTGGAGCGACATCGGTCATCATCCCTCTTGGCTCGGTCAAGCAGAAGGATTGTCAGGAAAACCACATAGAAGTATGGTAGAAACTGCAGGAAAACAAGGAAAAAGTTCAGCTAAACGGCAGGAAACTGAAGCACGCTAGATTCTGTAGATTTCTGAACAGTCCAGAAAATCAACAATAAAACACTAAGCAAAAATGGTTACATGATTGAAAAGAGCTGGAACAGTCCAGAAGAAGGCAGCTGATATTTCTGGCACGTAGTGGAAATGACGTGATAAACCCCACCTGCAGTAGAGCAATACACTCAGCAATGATTTCAAAACCGTTATCTTTTTAAATCTAGCACATGCATGAATTAGGATAGGCAATGTGCAAACACGAGAAGCATACCAACAAAAGCATGGCTCAACTCACTCCCATTGTGCGACAAAAAGAAGTTACAGAAATACTCAGTTATATGCGTGTGCACAGAGGTGTTGTGTACTTAAAAGAGAGTCGAAATTCTCACCATCCTGAGGTTAGAAGAAGGCTTGTCTTTGTTTCCCCGGATGTGGTAGTGTATGAAGCAACTATCTGACATGGGCAAATCTCTTTTATGTCAGCCAAAATAATCTCAACCTGTGCATATAATGAATGAGTCACATGATAAACTTCATGAGAAAAAACACCTTTGATGGAGCTCTCCCCCAAACCAAGCATTTGCCATTTGTTCTCCGAAATTCTTGCCTTTGCCTGTCACAATCATAGTTGATGTATATGCAAAGGATCCCGGCCACCAGAATAAAAAGTGCTAGCTGGAACAGGAGGTTGGAGATTGTCAGAAACGTGACAAATAATGATAGGAAGAAAAGAAGACAAATGACTCAGCTGAGAAGTTTCACACATCGTAAAAATCAGTTGATTCATATTTGCCAGAATTGCAGCCAGATTTTTTACTATCTAAAGTTTTTATTTATCCATTCTTCTCTTTCTTGCACCGGAATTGTTTTTTCCCATTTGTCTTTTTTATTCATTGGAGGTCCACTGGATTTCACGTTTTCAGCATGGTCCTCTCAAATTCTGAAAATACCTTGACTCGCATAATGACAAGACCTTATCACAATTTCGTGCACAATGCAATGAAACCAAAAGCAAGGCATATAAATTCTTTGACATTAAGAAAATTTCATCATATTCATACAAACAACCTAACCAGTAACCAAACTCCAATGGTTAATTTTTTTGGTCAATGGCCGAAGTCTAAAGGTTAATCCTTCGCTTTCCATGCTCATTGAACTTTTAGAACCAGGTGTGTACATAATAAGTTAATAACTATCCACCATTCGTTACGACCCCTACATAAAAAGAAAATGTGACCTAAAAGGCTAAAACATAAAGTAAAGCCAGCCTTTTAAAATAAGGAAATCACGAGTTAACTAACTTAGAAAACACCTTCATAACCAAATACGTTTACTACTAAATTACTAATGTGACTCATAACTTCAAAAAATTGGGCAAACCACATATCAGGATTATACCTGAGTTCCAAGATTTATAGGATGGTTGACCAGGTACATGCCAGGAGATGTATAAATAGATGGAACCCAGACCAAGCAACCCCAGCAAATATAAAATCCCGCTGCCAGAGACAAAAGTACAATGAACCATAGTGAGATGAAGCATGAACTGAACCAAGTGAAGGATGAGGAAACCATGATTGAGAAAGTTACATTACTATGGGTCAATCTACAGGGATAAGAACAAATATGATGATAGTCAGCATGAAAACCTTGGACTTGCAAAGAGATGCGGTTAATAGTAGCCCGTAGTTCACCATAAAAACATGGTAAATACCAGGCTACTGGTAATCAAATATCAAGACAATCAGCCCCCGAAAAGACCACCATTTCAGTAAGGTGAAATATTAACCTTCAAACGTTAAGGTTAATATTATCACATCTGATGGTTAGTCTTGGGCATGCCAACATCTAAACAGTGGGAGAAAAAGTAAAAGGTAGAGCATATGTGAACCTCGATCATGTGCAATATCCATTGTATTCCAGTATCCAGCCTCCCACCAGAAAAACTTTGTGACATACACCAGCATCAATATAGTATTCACAAGCATTGAGTCAGCTACTTTCCCATTAACTTCATACTGGTAAAACAAGAAACGAAAATCTGATATCAGATAAAATATGGATGACATAATTTAAATAGAGGTGAACAAGTACACTCTTGATCATGGCCCTTTCGGCACACAGATTTTCTGTGTCAGAAAGGTAAATGTGGACAACAATGTTAACATTAACAAACTACAATGGTAGCTGGTAATTTATTGAAATTAGAAATATATCAACTAAAATGAAAATGTTGGACCTAAACGGTAAGGACAGAAAAAAAAAAATCTCAGACGAATTACCTGCTTTATGCAATAGGTCACAGCAAGAACTGCCCAGGACATCATCCCAAATCTGCAGTTTGTGAAAACTTTGATATCGAAGTATTTACCAATTCGTGGATACAGCTCCAAGCCCTACGAAAAACGAAGAGTGAATAATACTTTTTATACATCAGGTCATATCCAATAAAAAACAGAATTTTTTTTTCTTATTAAAAGCTCAGTCACACAACAATAATTCTAAATGGAAGAAGATATGCTGTACAATCTATTGAAGTAGTCGAAGTAATTAGTTTTCTTTTTATATGGAAAAGGGTATTTTACAAAACAAACAGAGGGAGTACAACAAAATCTGGAGAAGAAGTCAATCCAACTAATCAACTACCAGAGAGTAAGAAAAAAATAGTATACAACACAAAAATCCCATCTAATCAGAATGACTTGTATTAAAAGAGATACCAAGGTAATCCAGTAAATCAGTATTATCAAAAAGTAATCTTCAGGTTCACGAGTTTAAGTTAGAGTGTTGCAGCACAAGGGCCGAATAAAGCAAGACCGTGATACTAGCACAAATTCTCTTGGGACAGACTTATTCATTCTGATAAAGTACATCAAGAATCTGATTGAAACCACAATTACAGCTATGAGTGCATTTTGAACTGCTCTCGTTTGCTCAGATAGATCACAGATAGCACAACTATTTGGCTTATTGAAAGAATCACTTTTTACATGGGCTATTTAGTACGAGTCAATGGATAACAGATATCTTGAAAAAAAATAAGTAACAAGGCATAGTCACACTGTCCAACTTAGCATCACAACCGAATGTGAACGTTCTAAGGGTATATACTCAGTTAAAACAGGGTATATATTCAGTTAAACTAAAAGGTCTATCCATGCTTATTTTTGAGTGGCAGGGAACATAATAGATGGAAAACAGGAAAAATGAAACTTACCCAATAGAAGTCAATTATTGCATTCCCAGAAGATCCAGAATCAGTGGAAGATGGTGCCACATGGCCCTTGCAAACATAACGTGTTTGTGTAAAAAAAAATGATTGTAAGATGCAGATAAACTTATATTTTGGAGTACTTATAAACCCTCACTTTTATGTACAGGAAAATACAAAAGATGAAACTTCCAAAAATGAGGGTAGAAAATATTTCTCCCAGATGATCATAAACAACTGTAGGGTTGAATATCCCGAACCTGAAATTTAACATAGAAAAACATCAAATGCACTAGCAAACATTTTGGTGCTACAAGGCCACTGCATCAATAACTCAATAATTCCGAAAATGATAGAATTTCTAGGAAAGTGAACTCAAGAATGTGCGGCATTCATAATAGGAAACAATGAATTGACAGAGAAAATATGTACCACCAAAGGCCAAGGTAGGTAGTCAACGTTACAAAATAGGCCGCCATACCATTTGCCTGCAAAATGCACAAGCTACATTAGAAAAGGGAAAGAATTTGCATATAGAACTATCCAGAACAAGTAGTAGACGTTTCCATAACTGCGAACAGTAATCAATTTAATACTTTTACATTTCTGCAAGTCCGGGTGCAGAAAAAATGACAAAAAAATGCTTTAACTTATACAATTTTTATATCTAGTGATTTTTACAAGGCCAAAGGATTCAGAACATTCAATATATATATATAACTTGAGATTGGCATAGGAGTTGGAAATCATATTTTTATGATCACTTTGGCAAAGCAATTTTGACACATAGAAATTGAGTATCCAGCACCTTGTAGACAGGTCGATTCCCAGCTGGAGATATTGGCCCCTCAACCCTTTTTCCAGGTAAAAGAAGCTGAAGTGCAGCCTCAAAAGCACCGTAACAGGCAATAATCTTCCATGCAGTGGCAGTAGGTATTGGCCATATTTTGATAAACCCCTGCAGTCCATGCTGCCTCAAGTAATCCCAAGTTTGCAAATGGAGCCATCAGCATGTACCATTGTATACCATCTGCATTAAGTATCAGATTCTGAGTTCAACCATTCATAACCATCATAATAATTACATTGATATCATGTAGCAGTAAATGGCATGTAGATTGATAAATTGATAAGGTGCTCCAAATTCTGAAACCTTTTTACTCATATATACTTTGTTTTGTTTAATTTCAACAGTTTATTTATTGGTTTAGCTCTACTTCCGCTAAGTAATTTACAGCGTCCCAACTAACCAAAATCTAAAACTTTAAAAGTTTCAAATTCAGATTCTTTGTCTGCGTCTTCTCATTATCAAAACAGGGATTATAGAAAAAGAGTAATACTAATAAATCACACTATCAATGCATCTACACGAGATAAAAACTTTAAATGACTTTGTATAATTCAAAATTTCATAATCTCACAGTTCTTATAAAATTAAAATTTAATATCTGAAACTACAGCATCTCTTTCTTTCAACATCAACACTACAAATCCTCAAACTTTTAATATAGAGGACAAATTCTTCAAAAGCTTAGGGAATAAACGAAGAGAAATAAACATAATTCGAGTTCAAGACATCATATTCTCCCAGAAAATTAAAATTTTCCATGGAAACAAACAAGAAAACGAAAAACCAATACGAGATTCGGATTCAATCATCCTATTTTCCCCACAAAACCAAAGAATAACGAAAACCCATTACTCCCCATACCACCATCCTCGAAAATACTCAATCCGAAAACAATCAAACGCAAAACTCATTTCGTTTTTCATACAAAACAAGTAAAACCCGAAAAAAATAAATAAAGCAAAACAGCAAAAAGAAAGATTTACAGAGCTTACAGTAGAATTACAAAGGGAGGGCAGAGAGAAAGCAGCGATAGCATGGAAGCGTACGTCACCAATGGGGAATGTACGGTCTTTGTCTCCCCCATTTTTCTTCTCTCTGATTTCTGAGAGTGTAGACCGAGCTCAGTTTCTTTGTATGGTTGATTGACAGACTCTCGGAGTCGGAGAGGTGAAGACTAGCAACATGGTGTCGTTTTAATATTGGATTTTCCTATTATACCCCTATTGGTGGGGTGCGGGCCCACTTACAAGTAGCCTTAGTCCATCTGATCTGAGTTTGGTTTTTCTGAATTTAAAATGAGTTTAGCGGACTCTGGTTCTTTAACACGGAATAGATTACAAACGGTGGGCCCACGGAATCGCCAAGCTTTAGGTACCGTTTGGTAAGTAGACGGGACGGAACAGAACGGGATGAGACGGAACAGGACGAAACGGATGATGTAAATATTGAAAAAGATAAGGAGAAATTTTGTCATAAAATGTTATAAATTTGTGTTCCACGGATGTGGAACGGATCGTTCCAGGGGGAAGAGGTGGAACGAAAAATCAACCAAATTTCGTCCCATGGGACAACCCGTTCCACAGTTTTTAGGCGCACCAAACGTGGGACAGAACGGCTCGTTCCGTTCCGTTCCGTCTCGTCCCACGTACCAAACAGTACAGCATGGGCAAACTAATGAGCAAACCCGACCTCAAGATTTACGTTTCTCTCGATAAAATTTCGTCTCAGCATTCAAATTTTTAGTCGAAATATTCACAAAAATATTAAATTTTAGTTTTTGACAAACGATATTATTTACATTAAGATGAAGGAAGAGTGAGGTAAGCCTCACAAAAGATTAGCAATAAAGTATTTTAAATTCGTCTTTAACGAGAATCGAACTCATGACCTCTCACTTACAATGAAGAGAAATATCACTAGATCATTGTACTATGTGGCTACAGAATGTTAAATTAGTTTTAAAGAAGTAACAAAAAAAAATACACCCAATCAAATTATAACATAAACTCGTAAAAAAACATAAATTTAGGGATTCTACTATAAGGACTTTCATTAGAAACAATATTCTTTCAAGAACACAAAAGTTCCCTTTAAGTTCGTAAGTGATAGCATTTCTAATCGGAGTCCCTATTTAGATACTCTCACCACCACTATTTAGGGACTTAACAGGAATATACTTGTTCTTAAAAGAATATTAATTTCATAGGAGTGTCCTTATAGTATAGTCCTTAAATTTAAGGACTAAAAGATTTTAAATTTATTGTTACTTTCTCAACCATTGATCTGAATAGTAAAAATAAAAATAAAAATTCAAAAAGTTATTAAGACGGTTGATTTCCCTTCAATAAACAAAAGAAAAAAGTTCATTGGGACCCATGCATGGAGTTGCACAGCAGCAAGAAATCTGCACATGGGTGGGCCAAGTCTTTCACTCAAAATTTTCACTGGGCTCCACCACTTTGATCCCTATATTGTCCCTATATGTGAGGACTTGCCTCATCTATCCAGTGAGTCTTATACTTTTGGTGCATTGAAGAGCTTTATTCCTCATTTATAAGGTCTATGCGATGGTAAGGACAGCTTTGAGGACTAGCACTCGAGATGCCCAGGGAGTCTCTATTTAGGGACTCCCACCACCACCTTTGAGTACTGCTGTAAGGGAATCTTTGTGTCCCTAAAGGAATATTGCCTCCAATGGAAAAGCACTTATAGTAGAATTCCTAAATTTGAGTTGTTACGATTTTATGTGATTGTTTGAATAGGCGCACATTTTTGTTTATGTAAACTGTTTTGAATTAATTTAACATTACATTGTCATATAATATTTTTGTAAACATTTTAACCAAAAAAATTCAAATTCAAACACAATTTTTTTTTAAAAAAAATATTAGCTTAATATTAGTTAAAAGAAATGCATTTGTGGGTGCAAATTTCCGTCGTCTCTTCCTTTGACGAAAATGCACCTGTAAAATAATAACACCTAAGATTAAGGTCAAAAGCCTCACGCGCCCACAATAAATTTTGGGAGGGGGCTTTGGCTGAAGAATCTCTGATGCCAAGGTTAGAATTCTAGAAAGAATGTGTTTGAGTGTTTTTGGGTAGCGAAAAACTTTTTGAATTTTAGAGATAAAGGGTGTATTTATATGAGAGAATGAGGAAGTGGGCCGGCCATCTAGGGTTTAGGGGTGGCCAACCCTATGTGGAATGTTTGGTGGGAATATTCCAAAATATCTGTGTAAACAAATATCTTGGAGTAATTAGGTAAATATCTTAAATAAATGGAATTAGGATAACTTACTTGAAAGAGATATTCTCTTATTAGGAATGTATTTATGATAAGAATAAGAGATTATTCTATCATAAATACCTTTGACTTTTCCTACAGGCATGGGTGCCTTAAGTAGTCGTTGATCTCTTCCTGCTCTACATCAGCTGGGTGTGGTGAATGAGGTTGCTCCTTGCTCATTTAATAGATGCATTCTTGTCTTTCTTGGGAAATAATCCACATGTCAGCTCCATGATTTTTGGGATTATTTTTTGCTCCATAAATGCCCTCACACCTGCTGGGCTGCTTGCAGGAAAGGGCAGGAGATGTAGGAATCCAAAGCTGCAATGAAGTTTGTGTCCTAATTTGATGTAGATTCCCTTTTTGACTTGCAATTTAAATTCTTCTAAGAAAGGGAATGTAATTGCCACCAAAACCTATTTAAGGCTATGTCACGCATGGATTAAATAAATTTGGAGTGCAACTAAAAACCCCGCAAGAAAGAGAGAAAAGCCAGAGGATATCTGTTCCCCTCCTCTAGCAATCTTCGTTGCTTACCCATGCAAAGAATTGTGTTACGCTGCTTTTATTCTTCTCCAAGGTAAGAAAACATTAATTTTCTCTTTCTTCTTGATTTTTCGGAGCCTCAGGGCTTGAATTTTAGCTCGACGGGGGTTGAAGACTTGGAAATTATGCAGCCGTAGGTTGCTATGTTACTGCTGCCGGGTAGCTTGGCTGGCTGATGCCAGGTGTCGGCTTGGCTTGGGCTGAGGGAGCTCTAGGGCACTGCGGGGGAAGTCTAGCTCGGGCTGGGCCTTCCATGAGCTTGCTGTTAGGCTCAGGCCCGTGCAGCGATAAAGATGGTAAATGAGAGAATGAGGTGTGAGGTGCCAACCCCCCTCCATTTGAATTGGGCTGTGAGGCCTGCTAGAATGGAGCTTGGCGTCAGATTGGGCTAAGAAGAAGGCTTGGGGTGTTGGGCCCACGTCTTGGGTTTGATGTGCTGGGTCTGTGGGGCAGCCAGCTGGGCTACAGCCTGACGCACTGCTTTATGCAATTTTTTTTTCCTTCTTTGAGCAGTCTTTTAACAATTTTCCTTGCGCCGTTGTAGGATGTTTTCGAACATAACTTCCTCAAGCCATAAGAATTATGAATTTATTCTACCGTTGTATCACCAGGGCAAATCTGTAAGTAAGCTAGGCTACTTCAGGGCTGCTTACATCAAGGTAGGTTCCAATGAGCAATTCAAAGACTTCCTCAAGAATGGTAGCAGCAGTGAACCGTTTGGGTCTAAGAAAGCTATCAAGTTTCACCTTTACTACTTCGTGTTGGGATTCACCTTTCCTATGCCTCGATTCTTCTAAAAGGTGATCGGCTCCATGAAGTGTGCTCCTGCTCAGTGTTATCTGAATGCAGTCTGTGCGATGGTGGGGTTTCACAACTTAAGTAGGTTTTTTTACTTAGACCTAACTACCAACGAGTTTTGGTACTTCGTTGATATAGGTCACATCGATGGTGTTAAACAGCTGAGGACCCGTCATAGGTTCTTCGATCACTCGAGCAAATGGGACCATGGCTGGGCTAGAGAGACCCTAGAGATCAACAGCGAGTGGGAATCCGACTCTCGTCTGGGCTGCGCGTTTCGACTACTTTCATCAATGGTATGTAAGCTACTTAGTCTCTAAGCTGCTTTATACTTTTGCTGAGCTGCCTTTTGATTTTTCCTCATATGTTTATGTAGATTCAGAATTTGGTTCAACTCCTAAGACTTTTCCAGACATGAAGAAGGTGCACATCGCTTTGAGGATCCCTGCTGAATGTTGCTCAGTCCTCTTCGTAGGGAGAAAGGTAGGTTGCCCCCGCATGAGGAGATTATAAGGATCAAGGATGAGGCGTTCGCTCGTCCAATTGTTACCGTGGAGCTTGTTGTTAATGGAGGCGAGAGAAAGAGATATTTGTCACATGCTCGAGAGCCATTGGTGGAGAAAAAACCGAAGACTTCATTTGCTGCTCGTGAGGGTGTGTTCACTACTGGGAGGCTGCTGGATCTAAGCCTGCTACTCCGAGGGTTACTAGAATAGTTACTGACAGGATTGCGAAGCGAAAAAGTTCTATTGTGCCCCTTATACCTGGTTTTATTCCAAGACAGCCTTTCGTGCCCAAGTCCGATCCAAATTCGGAGGTGCATGCAGTGGCAAAGAGCGAGGATAACGATTCCACTGCCTGTATAAGCAGCCGTGATTAGCCTGCCAAACCAGCCTTAGGGGAATTTTCCAAGATCTATACGTTATTGAAGCCTGATATGCTTGAGGACATGGAAGCATGTGCCAAGTTTGTTGATGGCGTGAACAAGGTTGTCTACTCAATTTTCTTTGTGAGGTGTAAGACTCAATCATGAAGGGGTTCCCTGCTTGCTATGATACGAAAATCTATGATCTTGACAGCCGAGTACATACGTGTGAAGCATGATGACGCCAAGGTTGTTAAGGAGATAGCAGTAGCCATGGTAGCAGAAGCTTGCTCGGCTGCTGAGAAAATTAAAGAGTTGAAGTTTGAACTTGCCTTTTTGAAAAGATCTAATGTCTCTGCTAGGGCTGGCAATTCCTGACACGATCCGATAACCCGACATGACACGACACGAAATTAACAGGTGTTCGGATCGACACGATAACGAATCGGGTCGTTATCGGGTAACCCGATAAGCACTTATTAAGATAACAGGTTTATTCAGGTATACACGTAAGTAACATGATACACAATAAGAAGAATATTAATTTTATAATTTTATAACCCTAAAAAAATACTATAATAATTATATATATTAATTTAACAATTTTATACCCCTAAAAACTATAATATATATATATATATATATATATAAATATATATATATATTAAATTA